TGTTCATTTCTTTACAAATAGTAGATGAGGGATGTGACTGATCCGCCCTGTTCAGAGGTGACTCATCCATCCTCAGCAGGGCTGAATCTAACCCAACAGAGACCCCTGGTGGACGGCCTGTGTCACTGCAGGCCTCTTCTGCCTGTCAGACCAAAAATCCTGGAACAACTTTATAAGTTAGATGTTCATGAAAGAAAGAAGACTGAATCTATTCAGATAAAGATTTTTAAAGCTCAAAACAACTTGGAAACTTAAGGAAAAATTACTTAACAAAGAAAAAGTAAAAAAGTCTTTTCATGGTTGAAAATTTTTTGAATAGCTCTGATCTGGGATCAACCCCTCTCTGCTCATTGGAGGCTCAGAAATGGAAATTTCCTGCATATTTCTGTCAGTAAACGCCTCAAACAGCATTTTATAGAATATAGAACATTGTGAAACCACAGTTTCCAGCAAAAATATTGACCTCAGAACGCAACAATCCTACTCCAGTAAGAAGAGAACTACTTCAGCATTTTGTATTCCAGGAAAACTAAAAGTAATGATTCAAGAAATTAGAAAGAAAAAGGAAAAAAAAAAAATTGTGCATACAGATGATTAGAAATGCGTCATAGATTCTCCCTCCAGTGAAAGTCCGCCCCCAAACCTAAAGAGAATGTCGTCTCTAAAATGCATTTTGAAGAAAAAAAGCAACTTGTAAAACTCATTGTGAAAAAGAGAAAATTTTAAAAAATAGAAAACAGAGGGAACAGCAAAGTTACTCTCTTTTTGATTAAAGCATTTTTCAGCGTTTCATTCCTGGATTGCTTTTTTTCAGTGCAATCCAGGAAAAAATCTTTGCCAACAATAATGGAACAAAACTCCCTCCATATTCAGGGCAATAATAGAAAATAAGAAATGTATGTTGCATATCACCATGGAGACAGCAAAGTGGATGCACATGTAAGTATATATTAATTAAAGTTTTTTTGTTTGTTTTTTAAATATGAATTCTATCTCATATTTATGAACAGAGTTTTTAAATCTTATTTCTGCTGTGTTTCATTTATTGATGGCTCCAGTCATTCTGGGATCCAATGCATCAGTATTGGAGAAGCAACACGTTTCATTTCCTGACTGTTTAGTTGCAGCCAGGGGCGGATTTAGGAAATTTGGGGCCCTAGGCCCTCTGATTGGAAAAGGCAACCCATAAAACAGCCCCATTCTCCAGAT